CATCCTCTTCTTCTTCTTCTTCATCCTCATCCTCTTCTTCTTCATCCTCATCCTCTTCTTCTTCATCCTCATCCTCTTCTTCTTCATCCTCATCCTCTTCTTCTTCATCCTCTTCTTCATCCTCTTCCTCTTCTTTTTCTTCTTTTTGTCTTCCTCTTGCAGGTCACTGCTCATGCGCAGATTTTTTTCCAACTTTACCGAAAAAAAAAAACGGCCAAAATACCGAAAATCGGCCGACCAAATCGCCCACTAACGATCCGAAAATCGGCCGATTTTATTTTCGGCCGAAAAATCGGCCGATTTTCGACCCATCTATGGCCTGCATAAGTGGTGTAAAGGAAGAATCACATTTTTGACCTGATAACTTCCATTTCTTGGGTTGCGTAAGCACTGGGCTGTGTGTTGAGTTAAAGAATAGTTTTAAAAGTGTTTGTAAATCCTTGCATATACCCAGTGAAGTGACTAGCCTCGGGTGATGCACAGAGATGAAACAACTCCCCCTATATAAGTTGTACCTGTTTATCTGTAGTCTTCTTTTCACTACATGCGTTCAAAGTTCTGAATTTATAAAGCTTGTCTGAGAGTTCAGAAAGAAGGGGGTGGGGAGCTGATCTTGCACTCTGCAAAACTCAGTGAGGAGAGCTGAGAATGGATTGGAGGGAAGAGACACACCTCTTCCTCCACACAGCACACAGGAACAGAGCTGGGGCTGTCGATCTGCTGGAGGTCCCTCCCCTGTCACTATTTTTCTCTTGGTAACAGGAAAACCTGTCAGACGTGACTCATGCTCATAGCAGAGGAATGAAGCAGCAGACAGATATGATATATAAAATATGTATGCAGCGCTAAAAAAAATATAAAATCAGGTGAAGAATCAAATAAATCAGAAATTGCACAATATCATAATACAGCAACTCAGTCCATACATAGTGGTAAAGCAAAGTGATTATGTGCAAGTGTTCATAAAATCCGTAATAGAAGGATAACCGTGACTCTTGTGCTCTTGAGAGTGTACAAACATTGCACTAACCAGATAGCGCATTATCTGCGCGTGGAGCAATTAAGACCTGCTCCTGGTGCTCTGGACTTGAAATGCCAGGAAGATGCACATAATCACTTTGCTTTACCACTATGTATGGACTGAGTTGCTGTATTATGATATTGTGCAATTTCTGATTTATTTGATTCTTCACCTGATTTTATATTTTTTTTTAGCGCTGCATACATATTTTATATTTCTTATACTGGGTCTTAGAGGTTTATGCTAGAAGCTTGATATTATTGTTCCCAGCGCTCAATTGCCACTTTTATAGACAGATATGATACTTGGCGCTCTAGATCAGTGTTTCTCTACCTTCTTCCAGTCAAGGCGCCTTGAAAATTATTTTCATTCTTGAGGCACCCTAGTTAAGGCTTGGTTCAAACTACTGCACCCGTCGGGGAATGTGCGCAAAATTGCTTGCATTCCCAACACGCACACAAATGCACTGCTCTTTAGCAGACGTACAAGAGTGTGATTAATTCCTAATGTTACCTTCATGCATTAGCAATTGCAGTGTGTTTTTGGTGTGGGTGCTATTTAAAAAAAAAAAAAATGGTTTGGGACTAGGGCCAGTTCACACCAGAAAGTGGTATGGGACAGGATTGCTCCACGTTCATTTCCTGCACTGCAGGTGGTTGCACCCCTCCTCCCCCCCCCCCCCCCCCCCCCCCCCCCCCCCCCCCCCCCCCCCCCCCCCCCCCCCTATGCCCCCCCCACACCCCCCCCCTGCCCCCCCCCCCCCCCCCCCCCCCCCCCCCCCCCCCCCCCCCCCCCCCCCCCCCCCCCCCCCCCCCCCCCCCCCCCCCCCCCCCCCCCCCCCCCCCCCCCCCCCCCCCCCCCCCCCCCCCCCCCCCCCCCCCCCCCCCCCCCCCCCCCCCCCCCTCTCTGCTCTCCCCACACCCCTAAACCCCTTTCCCCCCCCTCACCTCCACACCCCAAACCCCTCTCTGCTCACCTCCACGCCCCCAAACCCCTCTCTGCTCACCTCCACGCCCCAAACCCCTCTCTGCTCACTTCCACGTTGCACTCTCTGCTCACCTCCATACCACAAAACCTCCTGTTGTCAGGACCTCAGGCAGCACCCTGGGGTGCCATGGCACCCAGATTGAGAAACCCTGCTCCAAATTGAGACAAGTACGCACTATAGAGGGATATGCTTTGTTCATATTTAATGTCTGAGGTTTATAAACCACTTTAAAAGCAAACCTGTGATTTACCCTTGCAGAGCAAAGCAATTGGTTGCTTTAATGCCTCCCCCCCCCTCCCCCCCAGCAGCATAGACTCACCTTCTCTTCATTCCTCTGCTGCTCTGTTCTTCTGTGAGTGAAGGAAATGCCTCATTCATCTTGGAATAGAGAACATGTGACATTCATTTGCCAGTGTTGGTGTTTGGTGATTTTGCTCATAGATGTTGCATGGGGCAAGAAAAGAGTTCTCAATCCTGTGTTCTCCAATAGAGCAACTTGGAGCGTACCTAGTGCTTGTTTCCTTGATTTCAGCAAATTAACGGAGTGGCAGGGAATGAAGGAAAGGGCAGTATGTGCTGCTGGGAAGAGGGGCATTAAAGTGACATAAGATCTTGTGTGGTTTTTTTTTTTTTTCTTTTTGGCATGCATAGATTTGGCAAAATATGCTTTGCTAAATGAGAGTCCATTTGATTTGCATCTGATTTTGTTCAGTAACTTTTGCTTGATTGATATCTTGACAAATATAAAAGCATTACATGCATGAAATAATAATATGCACATTTGCTGGTATTTTTTTTTCTCATATTTATGCATATTTTATTATTTATTGGTACTTTAGAAAACTTTAGTGTAATAGAGAGACAGCACTATTTATATAGCACCATCATCTCCCTGTACAAAGCAATGGATAGAACAAGGGAAGCTAGTACATGCAATGCAATACATAAAATGTGCCAAAGACAAGTACATTTGCTTAGCAAAAATGTTGGAACAACGAGGAACAATAAAGGAGATGGCCCTTCCTATACAAGCTTGTAGTCTGGAGATACAGGGTGGGAACAAGCAGTAAGGGAAGTGATTAAGCTGTATATGAAGTGCCAATGTGTGCCTTGCTAGATGATGCATTAGTCACTGAGGTCTGAATTCCCCCCCTGCTGAGTTGCAGCTAGAGCCAGGATTCAACAGAGGGCGTGTTGGACCTTTACAGAGAGACCACTGCTTCAACAAAGATGGCAAGGGTCTCACTCTGCCCTTGCTGGCAGGGAAAGGCTACTTTCTTAAGAAAAGAAACAGAAAAACATTGATTAGCTTTTGGTTTTGATACATCTAGAATATACTTTGCTGATTTAGGGTACTTGCACGCAGTACTGACATTTGAACATCAGTATTCCTGGCCAAACTTTGAGGCGCTTTTGCGCATACCCCGCGCAGGTTCCTAAAATAAATTTTACCTTCCAGAATGGAATATTTTTAGGGTTGTATTGTACGTGCATATACACATAATATACTAACCGGCAGCTTTTTGTTTTTTTTTTTTTTTTTTTTTTTTTTTAATTAACTCGCCTGTATACAGCACATATTTATGCATCTGTGTGTACAGTCACATTGAAAACAATGGTCTGCATTTACGATCGTATTAATGGTATGCCTGAAAATGCTGAGTATTTAGGCAGCAGTGTGCAAGAGGCTTTAGACCTTTTTCACAAGGGAGTAAAAATGCCACATTTTTTTTACTGATCTGAACACAGGTGCATTGTTGTCTACAGAACAATGCACACAGCTGCATAAGGATTAATGATACAGTATATAGGATATGATGAGTAGAGAACTGTTAAAATAAAAATAGAAAGTTTTACGTTCCGAGTGCAGTAATTTACGCTGGTAATTAGAAGAGGATGAAGAATATTTTTTTTTTATGCATGTACATGCATATGCACATTTTACATGCTTGTATGCGCGAGGTCTTTATGAAACATTTTATCTTTCAGTCAACAAGATCCTGAATATAAAAATTGGTAAATTATTATAGCTGTGTGCAAGAGGCCTAAAAGTGAAACTTTTTATTTGGGATTTTAGGGCCCTTTCACACTGCTCCTCTGAAAAAATGCATATGCGCTTTTTGGTGTGTTTTTTCTGGGTTCCTGACTCCTGTGAAAACATGGATATGTGACTTAAAAAGCACACCAAAAATGCATATATTTTATGCATTTTCCATTCATTTTAGTGCATTTTTGGTGTTCTTTTTAAACATGCACTGACACAGCATGCAGGACTTTTAAAAATACACTGCACCTGTGGCATATTGGTGTGAAGAGTTTGATAGGATTTAAAGGCATTTTTGTTATGACTTTTAACTCCTTGGCACCAAGCTCACGCAAATATGCAGCCTCTCGGTGGCTGGGCCTTGGCGCTGAGGGTCCGCATATTTGCGTACCTGATATAAACAAAGGATGTGCCGAGAGTTCCCCCCCCGGTCGGCGCCTCATGGAGAGGTCTCAATCACTGCTTGCGATCGGAGCTTTACGATCATGTGACAGCCAGGCACGGAGGTCACATGACCCTAAACCCTACTCCACCTCCCGGCATCAAAAACCCCTTATAGGGCCGGGAGTTTCCGGCCCCAAGAGATTAAACACCAAAAGCGCATAAAAAAAAAACTGAAACGGTGAAAGAGCCCTAAGGAAGTGAGAAGACTTAGAAGTATACCACAGCCAGGAATCCTAAACAGTAGGGTGCTGAGTTGGGGAGCCAAAAAATGGAGAGATGTGAATATCCTAAACATAAAGATAATATTTACAACCAAATAAACTGGTTTTCTGAAAATCCTGGGAAAGGTAACCTACTTGCAGTAGCTTAGTGTGAAGGCTGCTTTGGGATGCTCTGTATATTGACATAACAAGAATATGTTTTCCTAACCAGGAATATTTTTTGTTTTTGCACAGTTGCCGGATGGGATAACTGGGGACTCTGGGCGAGAACGGACCAAAACATTTACCTACGACTTCTCCTACTTCTCAGCGGACCCGAAAAATGCAAACTACATATCTCAAGAATGGGTACGCATTTCCAAGAATCTGCCCATAATTGTTCACTTTCCATAAATTCTCTGTATTTTTTACAATCGTGTTTTGCCTCACGTCGTACTGATGTGCAATGGGATTTTAAACCTGTTAAAATGTGATTGTGTTGGTGGAGGGGGGAGCTGCTTTGTATTCACAGCAAACTTACAGCATTTTCTAGCTGCTCAGAGAATGCTGTTATTGTTCGGAATAGCTTGGGTTTTAAAGGGAGTTTGATGTGCTTATGACCTTAAAATTATAGAGAAATCTGGAAAACTGAATAAATGGCATTTATATTTCACTTTCCTTTTGGGGTGAGTTTCACATATATTTAGAGTTATTCAGTAAGGATGGAAATTCTTGCAGTATAATTTCTGAATGTCAAACCTTGTCTTTCTTTAAAAGTGTTTTGTGTATTTATATGAATTCAGAGCTGGTTTTCTAAAAGCCCTATGCAAAATTCTAATGGGCTTATTGAAAAAAATGCGAGCGATTAGTGGGATTTGGTTTTAAACCAACCTCTCCTAAAAAAATGCTGATTTACCTTTCTGTCCTGATTCAGTTGCTTCATACATACATACATACATACATACATACATACATACATACAATTTTATTTAATTCTTTATTGAGCAAGGTTTCCAATAATGCATGGTTCAAAGGGAAGGACCATTGTACGACCCAGCACATCTTGCACAGCAAGTACATGAGTCTATCAAATGTTACATGGTGAATATGCCGTGTCTACACAACCCTGTTAAAATGTCAGGTTTTTGTGATGTAAAAAAATTAGACAAAGATAAAATAATTTCAGAACTTTTTCCACATTTTTAATGCAACGTATAAACTGTACAACTCAATTAAAAACAAACTGAAATCTTTTAGGGGGAAGTAAACATAAAAAACTAACATAATGTGGTTGCATAAGTGTGCACACCCTCTTATAATTGGGGATGCAGCTGTGTTCAGAATTAAGCAATCTCTTTCACAATCATGTTAAATAGGAGTCAGTACATACCTGCCGTCATTTAACCGCCTCCCGCCCGCCATAGAAGGAAATGATGGGCGGGCGGCGGTTCTCTCGTTCTGGGAGGACGTCATAAGACGCCCTCCCGCTCTAACTGCGCAAGCGCGCCACAGCAATTGCTGGTGTGCTGTGTTCCTGGGACACAGCGGATCACTAATCAGAATAAAGAGCTGATGATGTGGGCTCTGTCGTGATCAGCTGTGTCCAATCACTGCTGATCACATGTAAATAGGAAATGCCGATTATCGGTGAGGAGAGTTGGTAATCTGCATCCCTCAGAGGGGACATGGGCACTGATGATCAGTGCCCTGATAATCAGTTTAGGCCCATCAATGCCATCTGTAATTGCCTATCAATGCCACATATCAGTGTCCATCAGATCTGCCTTTCAGTGCCACCAATTAGTGCCAGTCAGCGTCCATCAGTGCCATATATGAGTGCTGCCTTTCAGTGCCCATCAGGAATGCCTGTCAATGCCCACAAGTGATGCCCATCAGTGCCGCCTATCAGTGCCCATCACCGCAGCCTCATTAGCACACATCAGTGAAGGAAAAAAATTACTTATTTACAACATTTTATAACAGAAACTAAGAAACTTTTTTTTCCAAAATTTTCAGTCTTTTTTAGTTTGTTTAGCAAAATTTGTTTAGCAAAATTAAAAAAATAAATCCCACCAAAAAAATTATACAACTTTTGTTTGGGTACAGTGTTGCATGACCGTGCAATTCAAAGTGCGACAGCACTGAAAGCTGAAAATTGGCCTGGGCAGGAAGGGGGTATAAGTGCCCGGTAGGCAAGTAGTTAAAGTGTCTCTGATTAACCCCAAATAAAGTTCAGCTGTTCTAGTAGGTCTTTCCTGACATTTTCTTAGTTGCATCTTACAGCAAAAGCAATGGTCCGCAAATAGTTTCCAAAGCATCAGAGGGATCTCATTGTTAAAAAGGTATCAGTCAGGAGAAGGGTACAAAAGAATTTCCAAGCCATTAGATATTCCATGGAACAAAGTGAAGACAGTCATAATCAAGTGGAGAAAATATGGCGCAACAGTGACATTACCAAGAACTGGACCTCCCTCCAAAATTGATGAAAAGACGAGAAGAAAACTGGTCTGTGAGGCTGCCAAGAGGCCTACAGCAACTTTAAAGGAGCTTCAGGAATATCTGACAAGTTCTTGCTGTGTGGTACATGTGACAACAATCTCCCTTAGTCTTCATATGTCTGGGCTATGAGGTAGAGTGGCAAGACAGAAGCCTTTTCTTACAAAGAAAAACATCCAAGCCCGGCTAAATTTTGCAATAACACATCTGAAGTCTCCCAAAAGAATGTGGGAAAATGTGTTATGGTCTGATGAAACCAAGGTTGAACTTTTTGGCCATAATTCCAAAAGACATTTGTTTGGCACAAAAACAATACTGCACATCACCAAAAAGAACACCATACCCACAATGAAGCATGGTGGTGGCAGCATCATGCTTTGGGGCTGTTTTTCTTCAGCTGCAACTGGGGCCTTAGTCAAGGTAGAGGGAATTAACAGTTCCAAATACCATTCAATAGCGGCACAAAACCTTCAGGCTTCTGCTAGAAATCTGAACACGAAGCGGAACATCATCTTTAAGCATGACAACGACCCAAAGCATACATCCAAATAAACTAAGGAATGGCTTCACTAGAAAAAGATTAAAGTTTTGGAATGGCCCAGCCGGAGCCCAGACCTGAATCCGATCGAAAATCTGTGGGGTGATCTGAAGAGGGATGTGCACTAGAGATGCCTTTGCAATCTGACAGATTTTGAGTGTTTTTGCAAGGAAGAGTTGGCAAATATTGGCAAGTCAAGATGTGCCATGCTGATAGACTCATACCCAAAAAGACTGAGTGCCGTGATAAAATCAAAAGGTGCTTCAACAAAGTATTTATTAGTTTAAGGGTGTGCACACTTATGCAACCCTATTATTTTAGGGTTTTATTTTTACTTCCCTCCACCTAAAAGATTTCCGTTTGTTGTTCAACTGAGTTGTACAATTTATAGGTCACATTAAAGGTGGACAAAGTTCTGAAATGATTTGTTTTTATTATTATTATTATTATTACTACGAGTAAGGGTTTGCTCAGCAGCTGTACAATTTTATCTTTGTACATCACAGAAACTTGATATTTTAACAGGGGTGTGTAGACTTTTTATATCCACTGTACTGCCAGAGCCCATTGTGATTGTGGTGGCATCACAATTTGAGTGGTCTGACCTAAAATGTTGATCAGAAGTTCTGACTTCCTTGGGGCATACTTGTTCCAGATCAAAAACTCAGAAACCAGTGGAGGCAGAGGCAGCTAGACTAACATTTTCAGAAGGTGATCAGCAATGGCTTCTTCCATTTTTATCTCTGCACAGGTTTCCTTTAACGTTATGGTATTTGGTGGAAAGTGGCCTTAGTCACAAAGTAATTAAAGCGTATCTATGGACCGCAGTCCATGGAATTTATGGATACCACAACAAAACCTTTTTCTTAACGTACAATCTTTATTTCTGAACATATTAAAACTAAATTAAAATACAACTCAAAGTAGCGTCTTGCACCCTTATGTCGATAGGGCAGTGGTCACACACTATAAAGAGTGAGGCTTATAATACCCTAGTTACAGGCATATGATAGCTATTATCTGGTTAGCATGTTTAACAAGGAGTGCCAACATCCATAAACATAAAGCTTGACATGTTTTACATTGTTATTCCGCTTCTTCGTGAGCAGAAGATGAACACAAAACTGTAATAGTGGTGCATACTAAAATACCATGATATAAGGATAATAAACCGTGTATCCAAAAATATAGTTCAACATTAGATAATGTCATTGCACTTACAAATCACATCAGCAGAGGAAGTTATCCCGCTGGTGATACACCAGAAGGATCAACCCAGACCCTCACCTGATCAAACAACCCATAGATTTATCATGGTAGTGGATTGTTACAGGTATGGTGACTGAACATGTGATTGATGGCAAACATTTGCTATCACAATGCTGGTGTTATAATATGAGAATATGCCCCACCAAACATCTCTGCTTAGACAAGATAATCTACATTCACCACCCCTGGTCGTGTTGGATGTTGGTGTCATCTGAAGCTTTTTAAGGTTACCAGTTCCTGCATCATTACAGCATACAGTTGTGTTGTAGGGCCTGTCAGAAGGTACTACAGAGTGCAAAGGGGATCAGGCATATGACACACCCTAAAATGTGCCAGATACTGAAGATCCTTCAGGAAGACCATTTTTTTTTAAACTCAGAGGATCTCGCAGGACAGGTGACGATTATTTCCTTGCTTTTGCATTTACATACCGAGGTATCACCTTGTAAAGTAGCAGTGACATCATCACTCTGCTGTACATAGCCTGTGCAGAGAGCAGAACTGTGGGGGAAACTCAGCAAGCCCACCCACTACAAGCTGCCTGTAGAAAACTACAGGAGGGGCAGAGACAAGACCAGTCACCTTGCACAAGGAGAGAGAGCAGAAGCCACAGGTCTTTATTACAAAATCCTCTTGCACAGAGGCAAAATTGTAAACTGGATTACTGCACAGATCTGGAAGAAATACACAAGGGACATCAAGAAGAGACTATGCATGTCTTTGTTTAGACAATATTTGCTTATCCCACTGTTTAGCTTTAAATCATCTGATGTTCCCTTTGGAATTTCTCTAGCCACAACAGGAAGTGGGAGGAAATCCTTGTCTCCACCGGGGTCACCATAATTAGTGTCCCCATTTTTAGAAGATTTTTCCTCTATTGCTGTTCTGGTGACCACTAAAAATGAGGGAATTTTTCACTTTTGGTGATAGCAGTCACTAGGATATGCTGTACAGTGGGGGTGAATCTTCTTAACGGAGACAAAGACAACATTAAAAACTGTACAGGGGTTCTAATCCCTCTCCACTCTATCCAAAACTAGAAAAAAAAATTGCGTTTAGTTGTACTTTAAGCTGTTGAGTTGCATTATCTTCCTTTCTCTTGTTATGATCTGTCCATGAAGCCGCTTTATAAAGGGTAGGCTTCAGTAAGCTTGCCATATCTTAGTTAATCATTACTAAGGAAGTTATGTGCGATTAGTTGATCATCATTAAGTCGTGGTAGATACTTCATTTTGATAATCAAAAATCTCTTTTATTCAGGTTTTTAAGGATCTTGGCAGCGAAGTTCTCAAGTCAGCATTTGAAGGGTACAACGCCTGTGTCTTTGCCTATGGACAGACTGGCTCTGGAAAGTCCTATACTATGATGGGAAACCCGGTATGAAGATGTTTTTTCCTCTGCATGTTTCCTCAACTCTGTTCATGATACTCTAATCTTATTGTGCGGTCCATTGATTAGGCAGCACGTAGACCCAAGACCTTCCCCTTCACAATATTGGCTGGACTCTGTCACTCACTGCTTAGTGTAGGTGACGTTTTCTGGCTGTACATTCCCACTTCATTCAGTATCACTTTTTATGACGTTTCATCGGCTGCAAATTTTGCCCTAAGGAAGAACCTAATATGTGTCCTGCCCCTGACTTTAGCCTTCAGCCCTCCTCCTTTCTTCAGCTTTTAATCCTTTTTATTATATTATTGGAATAATATTAATAAAAGTTTAGACACAGACTGCATGAGACGAGTTCTAAAGAGTTATTAAAAATTATAGAAAACCAGCGCAATAGTGACAATAACTGTTTGCTTCTATCAGAACCTCAGGCTGGCTGGGAATTGTAGTGCAAGGAGTACAGGGATAAGTATTGCAGCTCTCCAATATCTCCACAGGATATCAGAAGATCTGGATAACAAGACAAAAGGACAGAGAGCGTACAACTGCCCTAATGTAATTCCATTTATTAAGATAAAAATCATTTGTACTCGCATGGTACAGTAACAGATGAGGCACTTCTAAATCGTATTAATCTTGCTCAGCTCCTCTCTGTGCTGATGGTATAACTTGAACAGTGATCTTGTATGCTGACAGCTCCCTGGTTCACGCAGCGGCTAGGCAGAGTGTGCTGCCACTACTGTGCATGTGCCCAGACCCACTGGAGCATGCTCAGTATTTACATCTCACTGATCGGAGAGGGAGAGCTGAAGGAATTTCAACGTGGTTGCTATGATGATGCGTTTTGGAGGCATGGCTTCATTTGTCAAGTCACGCCCACCCACAGCACCCAAAGCTTTATATATAGTGCTAATAAGATCCTCCCAAGAATCCTTAAAGGGGCTCTTATAAAAGCGGCCGAGGTGGACCACAGCAACCAATGCTTAACCTTATGATGCTAACAGAATAAACAAGTAAAATCGCATTTGCAATTAGATAATAAAATTATAAAAATGATAAAATTAGTATTAACATTAACAACGGACCCTGCATTAATAAAAAGCTTATACCCATAGGCGTACATACAGGTGAAAAATTAGAATATTGTGCAAAAGTTCATTTATTTCAGTAATGCAACTTAAAAGGTGAAACTAATATATGAAATAGACTCATTACATGCAAAGCAAGATAGCTCAAGCCGTGATTTGTCATAATTGTGATGATTATGGCTTACAGCTCATGAAAACCCCAAATCCACAATCTCAGAAAATTAGAATATTACATGCAATCAATAAAACAAGGATTGTATATAGAACAATATCGGACCTCTGAAAAGTATAAGCATGCATATGTACTCAGTACTTGGTTTGGGCCCCTTTTGCAGCAATTACTGCCTCAATGCGGCGTGGCATGGAAGCTATCAGCCTGTGGCACTGCTGAGGTGTTCTGGAAGACCAGGATGCTTCAATAGCAGCCTTCAGCTCTTCTACATTGTTCAGTCTCATGTCTCTCATCTTTCTCTTGCCAATGCCCCATAGATTCTCTATGGGGTTCAGGTCAGGAGAGTTTGCTAGGCCAATCAAGCACAGTAACCACACGGTCATTGAACCAGGTTTTGGTGCTTTCGGCAGTGTGGGCAGGTGCCAAGTCCTGCTGGAAAATGAAGTCAGCATCCCCATAAAGCTCGTCTGCAGAAGGAAGCATGAAGTGCTTCAAAATCTCCTGGTTGACGACTGAGTTGACCCTGGACTTAATGAAGCACAGTGGACCAACACTAGCAGATGACATGGCTCCCCAAATCAACACAGACTGTGGAAACTTCACACCGGACTTCAAGCATCTTGCAGTGTGTGCCTCTCCATTCTTCCGCCATACTCTGGGTCCTTGGTTTCCGAATGAGATGCAAAAGTTGCTCTCATCAGAAAAAAGGACTTTGGACCACTGAGCAACAGACCAGGTCTGTTTTTCTTTAGCCCAGGTAAGACACTTCTGACGTTGTTTGTTGTTCAGGAGCAGCTTGACGAGAGGAATACATTTGAAGCCCATGTCCAGGATCCGTCTGTGTGTGGTGGCTCTTGATGCACTGACTCCAGCCTCAGTCCACTCCTTGTGAAAGTCCCCAACACTTTTGAATGGCCTTTTCCTGACAATCCTCTCCAGGCTGCGGTCATCCCTGCTGCTTGTGCATCTTTTTTCTTCCACACTTTTCTCTTCCACATAACTTTCTATTAATGTGCTTTGATACAGTACTTTGGGAACATCCACCTTTTTTTGCAATTACCTTTTGAGGCTTTCCCTCCTTATGGAGGGTATCAATGATGGTTTTCTGCACAACTGTCAGGTCAGCAGTTTTTCCCATGATTGTGATTCCTACTGAACCAGAGAGACCATTTAAAGGCTCAGGAACCCTTTGCAGGTGTTATGGCTTAATTAGCTGATTAGAGTGGGACACTTTGAGCGTAGAATATTGCACCTTTTCACAATATTCTAATATTCTGAGATTGTGGATAAATCATTATTTTTTTCAACTTGAAAGTGTATTGCTTAGCCCTTTTTCTGCTAGAGCTGTTTTTGTGTTTTTTGCACACGTTTACAAAATAATTTTAGACCTGAAGATTACATAAAACCCCGAAAACATTATATATTTTTTTGAAAGCAGACACCCTATAGCAGTGGTCTCCAAACTGTGGTCCATGGGCCTAATGTGGCCCTTTGCTTGCCTCTATCCAGCCCTCGGTTTACTATTCTATTCCAAGGAGGCACCATATCCCTGGCTGATATTTTTCTTTCCACACAATTGCTCTCACTGATATAAACAATGAGGTACTATTCCTCCTAATAATACCAAGGAGGCACCATGGGGCTATTTTCCACTGGCACCAACTATGGGGCACTATTTTTCACCAATGATTCCACTGACACCAATGATGGGGGCACTGTTCCTCCATTGCTCCTCCCATTGATATAATTCATTCCACTAATACCAATGACTGGACACTATTCCTCTTTCCACTGATACAAACACTATGTAATTTTTTTTTTTTTTACCAAGGACTGACCCTGGGCATTTTCTATCACTTCTCTGATACATTAAACCAGCCCTTTGTTTAGAAAGTTTGGGGACCCCTACCCCCTACATAAAATAGTGGTAGTTCCAAATTTTCATGGAACACAATATTAAAGGTCTAGGAAACCCCAAATTTCAGTGAAAAACACACTAAAATTAATTTTAGGGTACACAAATGCAATAAATGACCCAATTTTATGGTAAAATCTAAAAGACGATGTTGCACCGAGTACATAGATGCCAAACCTTACATTTTTGTGCACCCGTGAAATGGCGACAAACTTCTGTACCCTATATTTTCTATACGCAACGTTTTCAATGTCCCCCTATAGGTCATCAGTTTAGCGTTACGTGGGAGGTCTGGAGCTAGAATTGTTGCTCTCACTCCGGCATGCACAGCGATATGTAATACGTGTATCGCAATCAATATTTTCATGCGTAGGTGCCGCCGACTCATGCTTTTACATTTGTACATTGAGAAAGTATAGAGAAGGGCAACTAAACTGATACGGGGCATGGAGGAGATCTGCTATGAGGAAAGATTAGAGGAACTGAATTTATTCTCTTGAGAAGAGGAGATTAAGGGGGGATAAGATCAATGTGTATAAATACATCAGTGGTTCATATAGTGAACTCTGTGTAGAGTTATTCACCCTGAGGTCATCACAGAGGACAAGGGGGCACTCTTTACGTCTGGAAGAAAAGAAATTTAATCTCCAAACACGGAAAGGTTTCTTCACAGTGACAGCTGTGAAAATGTGGAATACGCTCCCTCAAGAGTTGGTTCTGGCCAGCTCAGTGGATTGCTTCAAAAAAGGCCTGGATTCTTTCCTAGATACACAGAATATAACTGGATACTAATACTTATAAGTAAAGTTGATCCAGGGAATATCCGATTGCCTCTCGGGGGATCAGGAAGGAATTTTTTCCCAGCAGGAGCAAATTGGATCGTACTTTGCTGAGGTTTTTTTTTTTTTTTTTTTTGCCTTCCTCTGGATCAACTGTGGGTATAGGATTATAGCTTTTTTTTTTTATCTATGGTTGAACTGGATGGACTTTTGTCTTTTTTTTTTTCAGCCAGACTAACTATGTAATTATACTTATATGTGGGGGTGGGGGGGATTTTTATGTACTTCGATATACCTTTTTATTTTTTTACAGTTTAATTTTTTTTCCATCACATAAGTCACCTATGTGATGCTTTTTTGGTGGAACTACACTGCACCAAAATGCTATTTCTTACATTTTTAATATGCAAAGCAAACTCCTCTATCCGTCCATGTCCCTATGCTTTATCTTGCTGAGAAATCACTAGCATTTCTGGCAGTGGCCATTTTGAGTAAGGGCAGATGATTCATGTAGAATTTAATTCCTGGACTCTATCTGCCCAGCTCAGGCATGCAGGAAGGACAGTGTGTTTGGATGAGAAAATCTCGTTCCCTTCCTGGAGACTCTTGGGATGTATGACATCATATTGGCCTAGGTCTGGAAACCAGGAAGTAACTGAAGAAATGTACAAAAAAAACAGAAATGTATATTATATTTACTTATTTACTACCTCCGTTACAAAAATGTAATATATTGCAGTTTACCTATTCCTAGATGTGGTGGCTGTATATGTTTTTTCTTTTTATGCTTTTCCCCCCTATTTTCACCTGGTGATCTGGTCAGTAACACAACTTCTGTATTAGTGAAGACTGAGATTGATCTCTGCAGTTGCTTTTGCAGCAGTTGTTTTCTTATTCCAGGTCACAATCCTGTGCAACGTCCTTTTGTCTCTTCAGTTAGTTGACCATGCTGACCGCGCTTATGTTTTATCAAATGACATTTTCCCAGAAACTGTATGTACCGTCATAACCTTTGATGCCGTACCTCACAACACGGC